CGCACATATGACTGACAGATAATATGGCTGGACGGGCAAGATGAAAAATAGTTCTAGGTCGCCAGTCCAATTTGATGATTTTTTGGATGGTTGTATTTGATTGATGCATTTTGCTTGTCATACTTGATCGGTTTGGCATACGCCCCTAGTTTTCAACGACGAAACATTTCTTTTAAGATATTTATTGTAGAACCAACGATGAAATTAACTTCACCTCAAATTGTGCATTCCAAGAAAATGCACGAAGTAAGTTATATCTACTCTAACCTCTAAAATATATACCAAATTTCCTAAGCTTACAGACAAAGAAAAAAACACTTTTCTTCTAAGTATCCAAAACCCACACATTTTGAAACATCCGGATGGCACGCAGCCGAACCTGAGCCGACCTGGCCGAACACCAGCCAACCTTACTTCCGACCTACTCCTAACTATGGTTGGGGTGAGTTCGGCTAGTGTTGGGGAGGCCAAATTCGGCTTTGTGTGACAGGGGCTTTATATATAGACTCGTAATTTACCGAAGGAAAACATATTGTTTTTACTCACTGTTTTTACTTAGTTTCTGTTCCAAACACTAACCTCTGACCTGGCCAATGACATGATTTGTTGACGTCTGTCACCATGGTGACTGGTGTTGGGTTACATAATGTTGCAATTTCATGGTCTGCTCTACTCCTGTCACCATATACTAGTAGTACGTCCATGTATGTGAATGTGTTTGAGTAAAAATTAACAGAGCAGATCATGTCCGAAGGTAAACATTATGCATTTCCTTTGCAAATGTTACTTCTCTAGTTTCTCTTTGTGTTGATGACCTCTGCCTGTACGTGTGTCCTACAGCGTACGCAGTACTGATTAGTGATGAACCCCAAGCCTCTGAACAACGTTCGCCTTCTCTACTGCCACTGCCATTAACTCTACCACAATGATAGGAAGATGAGGCCTTCCTCATTTCCTGCTCCACAACAAAGCGTACAAGCTCTTCACTTATCACTTAGCCGACTACGATTTTCCGATCTATTCAATTTCGTCAAATTGCTTGTATCACCCTGGGGGTGAACTAAATGTGGATTCGATCCATCTAGACAGTGCGTCACACACCGAGTCAGTCAATTCGGATACCTTTTTTTACTGAATTTGGCAGCAGCGGGAACCAAGTACAACCAGAGAATAGATAAGGCCACAGCAAGTAAATTTTATGGATGTCATCCTCCACAGACTCTAAATCTAATGCGAGCGGGCGAGAAAAAAACAACAAGGCGGGCCGAAAAAACAAGATTCCTACATTTTCAAATTTTGACTCAATCATTGTACAAATGGTTTGATTCAGTGGGAACATCACATATACAGCCGCCATCACATATCAGTATTATCACTGCATCAAAGTAAAAAACACACCATTAAATCAGAGCCTTTTTTGTCTCCTCTCCTCACAGTTATCTGCCATCCACCTTCCGGCATGGCAACAGACATTTGTGCCCATTTTCGGCATGTTGACCACTGTCGGAGGGCAACATTTTTTTTTCAAAATCAGGCGAAAATCAATGCGCGCGCTGATGTCATCCATAAAATTTACTTGCTGTGGCCTTAGGTGAAATTTATTACATGCCGGAAGACTCACTGTTACTCGACAGGCTATCACAGGAGCGTACAAAGCGGCTTTAGTGTTGAGAAGGACCCACTAGTGGTTTCAAATTTCAAATAGCTTTACACACAGGGGGTGGGCATTGACGTGGAAGGTTTGTATTTCTGAAATCTGGGTCTCCAAGGACAATATGTTAGGTAAGCCTGTGACTTGACCAAAAAGGAGACGCATATATACCTTTTCATTTTTTTCCTGTTTGAATTTTTAGTTTTCCCCGGAGACGTGTATATAAAAGAATATTTGATAAGGAGTTTACATTTTGGAGAACCAAAGTCCTAAGCCAAAATTAGCAAATGTTGCATGGCAAAAGTTAGTACGGCCTACGGCAAAGCCAAAAAGTAGATATAGGTTTATAGTCATTCCTTTGGATGTGATTTACTTCAAATGCGCTCTGGTAGCCCAGAAGGGGATTTTGTTCTTAAGCATTATACAATACAGCTGCCAATGTGGTGGTACGAGGGTGGATCAAAAAGTTCTCGGCCTCACCTAGAAAATAAAGGTCAAACTCCTATTCTCCAGTATAACTGTATACTATGATGTCTTACATCACTGCACACAAAATTGCAAATTTTTATATTCATTAATTAGCACGTGACGCCACGTGAAAATGGGGTGGGTGAGGGCAAAATCACAAAATGGCCGCAACAGAAGCCTGTGCTGTGATCAAGCGTATCGATAAAAAGGCATGTCTCCTAAGGAAATCCATGAACACATGGTCAGGACACTTGGTGATGACTCCCCTTCTCATTCAACTATAAAGAAGTGGGTTGCTAGCTACAAGCGCGGCAAGGAGAGCACCAAAAATAAACATAGGTCAGGATGCTACAAATCAGCACCGCGGACAATCCAGTTGAGCCCATCCATCACATGGTAGTGAATGACAGATGTGAGACTGGCCAACATGTAGCAGGTTCTTTGGCCTGTCTTGTGGCTCAGTTCACAATGTTTTGTCAGACATCCTGGGGATGAGCAACCTGTCTGTAAGGTGGGTGCCTCGAATGTTTTCTGAACATCAGAAGTTAAACAGGCTGGGCATTTCAAGGAACGAAATCAGTCCAATATATGCAATTACCTCAAAACATTTTTCACCCAAGATGAGACATGGGTTCACCACTTTCACCCCAAATCAAAACAACTGTACAAACAATGAATGAAGAATTTTTCCTGGCCATCAAGAAGTTTTATCGAGTTTCATCCGTTAACAGGTTTTTTGCCTCTATTTTCTGGGACAGTAAGGGAGTAATCAAGATTTACCTGCGAAGGGGTTTAAGCATCAATGGGGAGTACTATTCAACAGAATTGCGACAGCTGAAGACAACAGTCAAAGAGAAAAGGAGAGGAAAGCACCGAGCTGTCGTGCTGACAATGTACCTGTCCACAGAGCACAGGGGTTAGTGACAGCAGCAAACGAATTTGGCTTTGAAGTCTAACCCCACCCTTCCAATTCACCTGACCTAGCACCGTCGGACTTCTACCTATTTCCTAAACTGAAGTTCCACTTACGTGGTCAACGTTTTTATGGTAATGATGACGTCATCAGTGTGGCTGAGCCCTATCTGCGGGCCCCAAAAGCAACCTTCTTCCACAAGGAGAAAACAAACCTGGAACATCACTGGACCAATTGAATTGCAGTTAGAGGGGACTATGTTGAAACATGGTGTAAGAAAAATTTTTCTGCCATGACGTTTTCTAGGTGAGGCCGAGAACTTTTTGATCTACCCTCGTATATGGCATTGGCATTGAAACGAAATGTCATTAGAAGAACTAGACTAGCATGAGAATAGTTTAGATAGCAGCTAGAGATAGTTAAAGTGGAATTTCCTTACGAAATGTACAATACAGCTGCCAATGTGGTGAGATATGGCATTGGCATTGAAACGAAATTTCATGAGGAGAACTAGACTAGCAGCATATGAGAATAGTTTAGATAGCAGCTAGAGATAGTTAAAGTCGAACTTTCCTTAAGAATTGTACAATACAACTGTCAATGTGGTGAGATATGGCATTGGCATTGAAATAAAAGAGCTGGACTAGTAGCATTGGGGAATAGTTTAGATTGCAGCTAGAGATAAGTGGGTGTGGTAAGATTTTGGTATTGAAGCGAAATGTCATGAGAAGAGTTTAGATTGCAGCTATAGCTAGATATAGGGGCTTAGTGTAAAGGCTTTGACTTGTACATAGGCGGCGGCGCCATGATAAGGCCATGTTGATTTGATTATATGGATGACATCCTCTGGGAACCCCAAAACTGATGCGAGCGTGCAAATAAAAAAAGGTTTAGGAAAATAAAGTTACTTTCATGATGAAATCTACGTGGTTATGAAGATTGAACAAATGACACATAGTATGGTATGGCAAATAATCTACTCTTCAAATTAATTTCTTAACGTTTTCGTCTTTTTTGTTTGATTTTGGCATTCTACGACATATTGGTATCGTTTTTTCAACTTATAGTATATATTTGCTAATTTTGCAACTGTTTTGTACGATTTATAGTATGGTTGAAAACTTTTTTTTGGAAACGACCGAAAATTCATGCGCGTGCGGATGTCATCCATTAAATGAAATCAACATGACCTAATGTTTAAAAATGGACGAGTAAAAGTACAACACCGATATTTTTGAGGGGTAACATACAAACCCAGATACATGTAATGTGAGCAGTACTAAAGCAAGAGAACAGTTGGTTGATAGATTTAGCCAAAGTATGTCTTTTATTCGTCTTTAAATAATAACAGTGCAATAGCGTATGGTCATACTGCTTTCGTTCATAATTATTTTGATTATTACACGTCTTGAATTTGCATAAAGGCCCAAACCTATTGTTTCTGACATGTGGCCTAGCACTGTTACACAATTGTACTCAAGCAACATTTTGCGGTAAAATTAGTATTCACTTATTTAAAACATTGAAAATATTTTCACAATTTTTTTCATACTTGAAAAGGCAGCAATAAGCATTTCAAGGTTAACTTGTGACGATAATCGTTGATGCTTTTATTGCATATCCTTTTATAGCAAATTCCTCCAAACTATAAAATATAGAATAGCAAAGTTCTTTATTCACAATCACTTGTGTCTAGCAAGAGTCGATGTTTCAATGGCCGCCTGTCCTCTTCATCAGGACTATATTAATATGGCTGGTTTACTGTATATGAAGCTTTAGTGTACAGTGAACCAGTAACACCTAGCTTCAGTACACAGTAAACCAGCTATATAAGATATGACAGACAGCCATAGAAACGTCGGCTCTTGTAAAACAAGTGGTTGTGAATAAAAAAACATTGCTTTTCAATCATTCACCAACCTCATGAAATTATATACTCGTATAAAATCTAGACATTCCACTTTTACTTTAGACATACGAGCTTTGCTCGCATTTTGATTGACGGAACAAGCGACCAAAGATAACTTTGCGAAAAGCTTTTCGAAAGTCCCTGTTAAACACAGTATAGATGACCGGGTTCAGAGCACTGTTACAGTACCCCAGCCATACAAACACTGTAAATAGGGCATTGTTCAAGGAACAAGTGCTACAAACCGTCACAACAACGTAAGAAACGAAAAAGGGTACCCAGCAAAGGATGAACACCCCCATGACGATACCTATCACCACAGTCAGCCTCCTCTCGCGGGACTGCCGAAGCTTCCTCCGGATCCGGTCGGGCCGCGAGGTGCAGTCCTCCGCCCCGTCAGCGATGTCCAGCCCCACGGACGTCGCGTCAAACTGGGACGGCAGACCGCCGGTCGCCATGTCCGATTCCACGCGAGGCGGGCAAGACCCGGCCTCGTGGCACGTTATCTCCTCCACGAAGACCGGACCGACCTTGACTCTCCTCCCGCGCCGTGCTGCCGAGCCCCCGTCAGGAACCACCAGGCCGTTCTCGCAAACAACCTCCCCGTTTGTACACTGTTCTCTCGACGGACTCTGTTGCTCCTCTCGGGCACTCGTTACTTTAATGCAGGGTTTGTTTAAATCCACACCTATCGGACTTTCTGTCATTTTCGGAGCTTCCTTTGTATTTGATTTCTTTAATATGGACTTCAGGGCAATAGGAGCTATGTTAACGCTTGCGGCTTCAGGTTTGTGCTTGGTAGCTACTGGTCTTGACGAAGGATGCTTCTTCACTCTCTTTAACGCTATACTAAAGATGCGAATGTTCATGAACACTACGACAGCGAGAGGAATGTAGAAGGAGCCTATAGTTGAGTATAACACATACCCTGGACTGTCGCTGTAGTCACACTGTGGATACTCTTCGTTTCCGTTCGGGCTCTTGGTTTGCCAGCCGACCAGCGGCGGGAGGGAGATGACAGCGGACAGGACCCAGGCGGCGGCGATCATACAGCCGGCACGTTTGGAGTTGGTGTTCTTGAAGTACTGCACGGCCTGTGTGACGGACCAGTACCGGTCCACGCTGATCATGCACAGGTTCAGGATAGAGGCGGTGCAGGCGAAGACATCCAGGGCCAGGAACACCTCGCACATCACCCGTCCGAAGTACCAGTACCCCATGAGTTCCTTCACCAGGGCCGGAGGCATGATGACCAGTCCTACGGCCAGGTCGCTGATGGCCAGGGAAGCGATGAACCAGTTCTGGACCCTCCTGACCGACCTCTCCATGAAAACTGCCGTGCAGACCAGTAAGTTTCCCAGAACCGTCATGAGTATGATGGTGATGATGGTGACCGAAATTGCGATAGTCTCTCCGGTACCGTATCCCCTAGAACCCTCCTCTTCTGTCCCGTTCACAGTAACAGACGTATTCGGCCTGACATCCATCTTGTCCTATCCAGGGTTATCCTACTTCTCCGCGTTCCGTCACCGAAAAAAGTTCGTCAATAGAGAGAGAGAGAAGAGGGTGAAGGAGTCGATCAGCTCAGACGTGATGTAAGAGTACGTCTGGTGTGGGAGCCCGCTGCATCACCCCCAGAGGAGGCAATGCTATCGACCGTACGTCGAGTCTTTGACCGGCGGCCAAAAGAGAGCGGAAACCGCGCGGCAATCCTCCCCCTTACCGGTGTCTTCCGCTGCCGCGAAGTCGCCCATTCGTAGTCCGGAATCCATCTGGTAAAACATTAGCGTGTGTTTTATATATACGTATGCAAGGCAGATTAGCGTCACAGGGTTTTATATACAAAATCCTCTAGTCATGGCATTCAAATACAAACGGTTTGTGGCGAGTTGTTCCGTCATTGGCTGGCGTATGGTACTAAGTAGTACAGTACCTCACCTTATCCATGTGATACGACGTGGCTGTCACGGGCGACTTTCATTCCACAGTGTTGAACACAAGCCATTAGCGATGATGGGTTATACAGGACAGACCCGACCACATTACGCATGTCGATCGTTTTGTAGGCGTGTCTAGTTCGTCAACCTGACAAATTAATTTCTTTCCGCGTCAATGGACCACTCCGGCACAAGTTATCTCCGAGCGTAATAGCAGCTGCTTTTCATTCGTGTGTTATTTTCTACACCTTTCTTGAAAGGACTCCTGCTGCCTTTTCGACTCGAGTGTGTTCAGAAGTACAAAAGTCTATCTTTCAAGCAGTAAGTGGTCAGTTATAGTCTGAGGCTTGCCACACGAGGTTGGCATCACAAATATTAGGCCACAGCAAGTCATTTTTATGGATGACATCGACGCGCGCATTAATTTTCGCCTGATTTTGGAAAAAAAAAGAATTTTGTTGCAATCTGAAAGTGGTCAACATGCTGAAAATGGGCAAAGATGTCTGTTGCCATGCCGAAAGGTGGATGGCAGATAAATATGAAGACAGGAGATAAGACAAGGCTCTGATTTATTGTATTTTTTTTTTACTTTGATGCAGTGATATGTATTTCATTCTTCATAGATGTGATGGTGGCTGTGTATATGTGATGTTTCCACTGAAATTAAAACCATTTGTACGATGATTGAAAACTTTTATTTTTCAAAGCTATTTCAGTAAGAAATGGATGTCATAATAGATGGCATTAATTTAGCACAGTTTAGGTATCATTTCTTGTTTAAGAAGTTTGATGATGTCAAATTTGAAAATGTAGGAATCTTGTTTTTTTTTAGCCCACCTTGTTTTTTTTCGCACTATCGCATTAGATTTGCAAGGGACTAAATATTTCAAGCTGATCAATCTTTTCTAGCTCTATGATCTGACATCTGAGTGATAAAACTGTTTTCCAACATTGACATTGAAAATATAAGTGTCCCCATGCAAGTTTTACGCTATGAAACTGTATTGTATTAGCTGGATCACAAGTCTGAATACTAGAGATTGCCAAAGTTGTATGAAGAAAAAGACAGAAACTAGAAAGGTAACATTTGCAAAGCAAATGCATAATGTTTACCTTCGGACATGGTCTGCCCTGTTAATTTTTCGTCAAACCCATTCACATACATGTACTACGAGTATATGGTGACAGGAGCAGAGCAGACCATGAAATTGCAACATTATGTAACCCAACACCAGTCACCATGGTGGCAGACGTCAAAAAATCATGTCATTGGTCAGGTCAGAGGTTAGTGTTTGGAGCAGAAGAGGAGGAAGAAACTGAGTAAAAACACGATGTTTTCCTTAATATTTGGTAAACATAAAAAGATAATCCCTACCTATAGCTACCGACCCTATTTTTCAACGCTGAAACAGGAAACATAACATTTCTTTTCCCAGGCCTAAGGCCTGCGCAAAAGGAATCGACAGACTAGCGCGGAGTAAAATGTCAGAGGTACGTAATCATCCGCACGCCATTTGATTTGATCACGCAAATTTGTTCCCACCGATTTTCGCCGTCGGCAGACTGTTTGGTCGTCCCCGTGACAGACAGTTGCGTGATGAGGTATTACAGAGGATTCATCTGCCAAGGACGTCGGTGTCATCTTCCGTACAGACCGTCATACGTAACTGTGCGTACTGCCGTGGGCTATTACATAACCCGCAGGAGAAGCTTAAGCTTGGTGAAACAAAGTTACATCCCATTCTTAGATATTAACTCAATGGATCATCTTTACTTTCATCTAAAGTCAACTCTCAAATACTCGTTATTACACAGCTATATCTTTCTGAAACCAAGCGATTTAGTAACTGATTTTTTATAGTTCTGTATCAATTTATAACATATTAATAGCTAAACTCAGTTTTCTTGTTACCTGGACGTTGCCCATGTTACATTGTTTTGTGATGTAATTTCTATTTCATGTCTAGTGGTGACGTGAATAATATAAGCATATTGCTTGAGTGCGTCACCACTATGTATTGTATTGTTTGCGCGTTGAAATAAAAAAAAACAAAGTTACAAATTTCTGCCATGCATTTCAAGGTGATACCTCGAGTACAAGTATTGGACGGTTTGATACAGTGTTAGAACATATTTCTCCTTTCTTCCATGCAAAGAATTTATCAAGTATCAACCTACATACTATCAACAATTTAGCCAGAAAGAAGGATAAAAAACCTGCAGGGCTGCTTTAAGATGAATTAATATTAATTGAAGTAGTCACAAATTTTTGCTATATGGCTATATGGAATTATCCTGGATCATATCTTAAACAATTTTTCTATCGGCTTGTCGACAGGAAAAAAGTTTCAATTCCATACCAAGTTTCTCACTATCCAATTTTACGTCTAGTTAAATGTGTGAATGGCATGTTGAGATCGATATACTAGATGTAATTAAAACCCAGACAACTTTTAGACGCCTATATATAGCTCTTTTTACGTTGTACGTGTGATAATTTCCTGTTGGCAAGGCCTAGGGGAAACATTGTAGCAGTTTCGCGGTCGACCCTAGCAAAACCCCACCGTTTTCATCGACCGCTGGTAAGGCTATGAAATTTACGATCTAACGTCTGAATTTCAAATCCCCTGAGTCTAAAACGTCATTTAACACATTCTCAGAAGAAGCATTTTCTTTGGTAAAACTGTGAAATTTTTGTCCACAAGCAAATAGGTGGACGGGTCCTTGAGACAGTCCCAATGCATTGTTTAAGTTTAATTGTTTGATCATTATACGAAATCTAAAAAAAAATTAAGACTTTTTAAAACAGGAGGAAAGTCCCTACCTCCCTACCCTATCCTTTCAGAGCTGAAACTGGAAACACAGCATTAATTTTCCTAGGCCTTACCAAACCAGACCTACTCCAATATATACAGAAGACAGATTCTGGCGATAGTGGCGGTATTAAATTAACTCTCAAGGCAAGATGCTAACATTTATCTGGTATAAACCTGACTCAAGGCACTAAAACAGTTCATGAATCAAAATTCAGCTGCGATACGTCAACCTTTACCTGGAGTTAACATCCTAAGAACAGGATTTAGAAAATAAGAATGATATGGCTGACGTTCTATATGTATAGCCTGATTTCTACTACGCTACACCATTTCCATACCAAGCTCGGTGTTCATACATATACGTAGGATGAAGTTAGCTACACATGTATTTACTAATAGCTTTGTGAGATCTTTATTTGTAGAAGACCATGCAAAAGTCCCTGTACTTTTTGTTGTGTCAATAAAGAATCTTTAGTCTTCATGTACAATGCCGGAGTGCTGGTCTGAAAAGGTGACGTGCTCGTGGTACTCAACTATTTATCTCCATGCAAACTGGAAGCATTGTGTCCGTGCGTGTGTCCGTGTTTCCGCATGGCCCTTAGGCTAAGGCTTAGGTCAGGTTGTAATGGATATGATTGGGTTCAGTCTGTCCCAGTGGAGAAAGTCATTGTCATCTGCTAGCACTCACTGTTTTAGTTACATGACCTCTTTGACATCCGGTGCTGTTTCCTTTGCACGATGAAGAAAGACTTGAAGACACTATTAGTGAATGAGAATAGGGCAACCATCACACAAGATCTATATATTTCATGGAAGTCTGAGACCTTCGAATCATTTTCTTTAGCCACTTTCAAAACTTCCTCGACTACAATTTATCTAACGTTCTGGTAAATCACAGCTTGTACTAGGCTATCGGTCTACATATCTAATTCTGTACCCTAGCTACATGTAGTTGGCACCGGATCAGAAATTTTGCCGTGCCGTAAATCAGCCAGGCGAAGCAGGTGTTGTAAAACCCGTCGTAAACGCACGCACTGACATGGATAACGGCCCCAAGACGACTGTCTGCTGCCAATTATAGAAACACCCGGTAAACGTTAGCTACAGGCTGGTGTAACGGATGAGGTCAATCGTTACCTAACCTACCTGGAAGAGAAATTTGTAAATGAATAAATGAATGGTTTATTAACATCATTATTTTTTTCAAGACATATCATACAGTAGCATCGTTATAATTACCGGCTGAAATGGTATTTTTTTTTACATTGATATAACTATAGTATGAAGTGACAGCAGTTGGATAGCTATCCTCTACATTATTGGTTAGGATTTTTGATTGCATAATGCAAACTGTTAGCAGGAAAGCTTGACATACCTACCAAAATACTTGCATGCAGTTCATACTGTCAATATGCAATATGCCCACTCTACCTTCATCCAAATTTCAAGTTATTTGGCCCAAAAATGAAGGAGTGGAATCAATTTACAGAAATGACAGGAGGAGGAGGAGAAGCATGACAAAAGCAACATGTCTTCAACACTAAACCGTCGCAAAACAATAAAAAATATGCATATAATTAACAAATTACGAATCTTACAGTATGCTCGTCTATGCTTATTTACGGCGCCAACCCTACTCTCCAAGCAGAGGTTTGGGTTTTGGGGGTATTTTTAGTGTGTTTTTAGGCTTTGTTTATCGGGGTTTCTCTTTTGCACTGAATTCTTTTTCCCACC